CCCCCCCTCCTAGCGCAACAATTTTTTCAGAGCCCCCCCTTCGGGTGTCTAAAAATTTTCGGAGCCCCCCTTCAATATCTTCATCCCCCCCCCCTTGTCATATTAAATGAACTTTCGCTAATAGAATCTAAATTGCAGAGGAACATTACTTCAATACAATTACGACTGTACGGTCCATTTTCACAACGTTAAGGGGTCTTAAAGTGTAACTTGGTCCAGTTTATGACTTTACAATCCGGAAGCCGACTCCGATCGAATAAATAAACAAGGATGACGCCCTTTTTCTAACCTGCGATCAGGCGATTTTTTTAATTTTTATTTTTTTCCCCCGCCAAAAAAAAAAAAAATTTAACACATTTAAAGCGCTTTCAGTACCCAAATTTGCTCGTTTAGTGCTGTGACAAGGCCATTTCGGGCCACATTTCAGACACCCGTGCCGTAAGAGTTTAATCGAACCCAAGAAACTTCTCTTTTAGCTTTCAAAGTAATGAAAGTATAAGAATAGCTGAAGATGTTTTAACTCAATGTGTTTTTCAGCCCAATTCCTTAATCCATGGTTTGCAAACCTTTTTTATCAATATTACATAGAATGTCTCACTATTCACAAGGCACATATCATCCTCGGAGACCCAGATAGGAGGGCAGATAGTGGGGGCGAGGGAAAGTCTAAACGGGCGGAAAAATATGGCACGAAGAAAACTCGTTTAGACTTTCCCTCGCCCCCACTATCTGCCCCTGGGTCTCCGAGGATGGGCACATATCCGAGTGAGATTATTCAGGATTTCCTCAGCTGGGGGCGTCCTGATAGCGCGGGCACTGGAAACGACTAAAGACACTAAATGAGAAGCAAGATGGCTTCCAAGAAGCGAAAGTTAGAGGAGGACCGATTGGAAATTTTTCCCGATCAAACTGAAAAGATAGAATCCAGAGGGATGCTTATTTATATCATCCCTAAAAAGATTCCAAAAGCAAGGCTCCAGGTGTTGAACAATCTTGCGCAAAGGAAGGGATTTCCAATAACAGAGAAGTTCAGGTAAAATTTGCAAATAAGCTTATCTCATAAGCTTACAATGTTGATCAGTCAAAACCTACACTATTAACGGCTGTATGATATCTTTCGATAAGCCACTGCTTAAGCTATGCGAAAAGGGCTCGGAGTTTGGAGATCGTGCTTCAACAAACAGGATCAGTACCAGCTAGCTTCCCTGGTGAGCTGAGGGGGAGGAGGGGTAAGGGTAAGGGGCACAATAGATAATTGATACAGGGATCATTGTAAGAGAAAAAAATTCAATTGTAGATGCTGGCCACTCTTTAAGTACGCATAATATGAATACCCTATTCTAGATCAGACAGCACATGAGCTGCAACGTTTTCCTGTGATAATTTGTTTACTAAACTATTTGTAAGTTTTCATGTGTATGATACTCCATTCTAGGTAACATGGTGAGTCCTCAAAACACAAAGTACACCACCATTTAATTATTTGGGAGAGTACTCTTACTTCCCTTGCTGGCCCCCTCCCCCTTCCACCCCCAGTGAGCATGGATCACATGGGCATAGATTAACTTCCCCTTTTATTATATCCCTTTTTTGATTATTTAATCACTGGATAAGTGGCATTTTTTATTTCTTCGTAGCAACTTGGTGACTCATGTTGTGACAAGTTATGATTCCAGGGAGAAGGCTTTCTCTGCATTAGAATGGTATGAAATAAATTAACCTCCTTAGGATAAAGTTTTATGCAGTGTTGTTCATGTTAAAAATTGTTAAATCACCAATCAGCAACACAAACGACTGAAAAAAAAAACCAAATGAATAACCCATCAGGGTTCTCATTAAGTTTTAAAGTAGACAGCTATGATGTAAAGTAGGCAGCTTGGACCGTAATCGAGTGCTGTTTGCAAGTGTTGTAGGCATGTTGAGGCTTTCAGTAACCTCACTTTACCCTTTATTCCCCAAAAGTATAGTTGGGTAAAACTCAATGGAGCCTGTGTTTTCGCCGTTGGCAGTACTTAATAAGAACCTTGCCTAGACAAATTATGTTATAATATTTAACCAATAAGAAAACAAACTGATTTGTTTCTGCTTATGATATGGTGGAATGACAAAGTATATGCTTGTATATTTTCCACCCCAATTAATTGCTCCACATTCTTTTGTTGACAGTCCAAATCATTCAGATTTTCAAGTCCTTGATGAATTTATGTGTTGGTGGGAGCAAGTGGTCATTTGTTCCTGGTACTGTTTGAAAAATAGAACTGTTGAATGGTCTTGTCACTATTTATTGGCAGTAGAATTAAGCAGGGTTATCTATTTTCACCAGGCAACCTGCAGAAAATGTAGAAATACTTACTGTCGATTGTGAGTACTCTATTTTGTACTGTTCTTAATATAAACTATAACTATTAATTTTTATTTAATATTGCTTCATCATTGTTTAGGCCTGCATTGGATGCTTTTCATTGCGTTCATGATTTTTTGTTCTCAAAATCAACATGTCAAAACTGCCATATTGAATACTCAAAAAAGCAGAGATGTTGAGGCAAGTCAAGGAAAAGGGGGAGGGGTGGAAGAGAGAAGTCTCCATCCTTGTCTGCATCCCCTTCTTTCACCCTAACACCTACCCCAAGGGATGATATTTCTACTCTCTCTAACCTTCCTCAGTCATAAAATCAAAGATGGCGGCCAGCGCATTACAAACATAAACAAGTAGCTTTCACTCACCCAAAAATATGCCTGCAATGCAGGATATCATTGTTTCTCTAGTTGTGTGTGTGATATAATGTAGTATATAATGTATTATGTAGTAAATATTACCTAACATGGATTAATAGAGGCAGTGTATGAAAGGTTATGAGTAAACCTTAAAGTTGAACCTTGCTTGAAACTTTTATGTTTACTAATGACCTTTCATACATTGCCTCTGTTTCAGTAACACATAGAAATTTGCGAAGCAGGAAAAATCCACCTTTACAAATACTGGGGGAAATCCAGGGGGGTGGGGTTCCTAGGATGCCCTTGCAACACCCTTCTTACTCCAGATTCCCATTCTTCAACACAGCTGTAAAACTACTTTCAGGTGCCAATTGCTTTATTCCAACCTCACCTTTTTCCATCAAGGTCAAATCCTTGATCTGCCCTTCTGAAGAGGCTTGACTCAGTGAGGGGTGGCGAATGGTACCTCGAAAAACGTGGGTCTCGGAAAATTTTGGCAGGATCTCAAAATCTCGGAAGCGTTTTTGACAAGTCTCGAAATCTCGTTTTTGCATGGTTTGTTTTTACTTTTTCTGAGTCTCGAAACTTTTTACCAAAGAGTCTCGGGCTCGGATTTCTAACTAGGATCTCGGCGTCTCAGCGAGTCTTGGATTTTACCATTCGCCACCCCTTCAGTGGTATTTATTATTGCTTTTTGTGCAATTCACCAGGGCTGACTGACTGCACAACAGCAGGAAAAATAGTGGATGTTACCGATAAAGTTAGAGTACAGGGATCTACCACAGCTACATCAAAAGAAGAAACTTTAAGGTAAAGGATGAAGGGAAAGATAAATTATACAAGTTTGAAACCTTTAAAAAGTCATTGATCTTTAATATTATTGTTTCACTTTGTTTGTATAACTTATAATTAAAGAGCAGATTTGGAAAACAAGGATGCAAGCAAAGATGGTGAATCTTGTGAGTATCAGGTGAGGAATTTGTAAGTAAAAATGTATTTATTGTCGTTAAATTCATTGACAAAGTACAATTAGTTAACTAATAGAGGTTGTTTTATAATTTAATTCTTGTATTTTTTTGCATTTGAATCTCAGTTGTATGTATACAGTCATGCGTAATGTGCAGATATGTATATTAAGAGTAATTAAAATCAAGTGATTGCCGTGAACAATGATTACAATTCTTTCTAGTTATTTAAATGTGGATCCCTTTTTGTAAACTTTTTTGCTTTTTAGGACACAAAGTTTGTGTGCCAAAGAGGAACACCACTAAATCACCACAATACCAAGTTCACTGTAAGTTATATAATTTAAGAGATCAATAATTATGATAAAGTAATATGTAATGGTAACAGGACTGAGTGGAGTCAAATTCCGCGTAGCGGGAGTCTGATTTGTTTAATCACGAGTATGATTACAGACCGAATTGGACGACACGAAGTTCTGTTACCAATTAATCATAACTTTAACAAAATTTGTGATATATTAGGCTCTTTTTTTAATCAAAACGCAAGAGATGTTTTTGCTAACAGTGAAAAAAAAAAAGCCATTTAAGCGCGCACGTGATGGCGCGTACTGTCCAATTACTTAGGCATGATGCGTACTGTCCTATTTAACTGTCCTATTAAGGCTGAAATCAGGGCAGTTGATAGCCAATCAGATTTAAGAATTTTGTTATAGTTATGATTAAATATATAATATTATATGATAGAACAAAATTTCCGATTGAATAATCTGGCTTAACCAAAGTTTTTAATTTTCTGGTCAAGGATGCACTTGAAATTCTGGAACGCCATGCGGTGTATGTTGACAGTGGACAGAGAAATTCTAGAGCACTTGCCTTCAGAAGAGCGGCTTGTGCACTCAAGTCTTATCCAAAGTATGTTACTCAGTTATTTACAAATAGTATAGATCCTTTTATTCAAGCAATGCAGCTGTTTCTAAAACAAAAAGGGAGCTATAAGTTGTTGGGTGGAAGCGTGCCAACTTAATGTTACAGATATTATGCCATCTGCAAAATAACAGCAGTTTTTTTGGAGTTATTAATATTTAGGGTCAATCCTTATGGTGCATTCAAACCAGAATGAGATGTCTTTGAGGCTTTCGGTATGCCTTGTGTCAAGCCGTCCTATTTCTTTGCATCCAGTTGTAATCCATTTATCTTATCCGATTCAGTCCATGTGGTGCTGAAGGTCTAGTTATATCCCCAGGTTAGGGTGCAGAGAAGTGACAACAGGCTTGCAGAAAAAGAAAAACGAAAAAAATTTTTTGGCAACAAAGAAAATAGTAAATTGAACTTTCAAGGTATATATAATTTTGGGAGAGTCAGTTTTATTGTCAGCTCTGTTTTAGGCAGATCAGTAGAATTGAAGAAGCAGCGAACCTGAGCAGTGTAGGAAATCACAGTAAAAAAGTCATTCAGGCAAGTGGGTTAGTGTGCTTAAATCATATATGGCTGTACAAATGATTAATTTTCCTGTTGGTCTTTCTCTGGTTTTCCATTTTTCTTTCTCAAAATTAATGGAATCAGGCTTGTAATATTGTGAAACATTTTATTTTGCCCATGTCAAAACAGGATATTCTAGAAAATGGGTCATCCGTAGAAGTTCAAGACATCCTATCCAGTGACTTCTTTAAGTCAATGGAGGTTTGTTTTCAGATATTTCTGTTAATCCTGGGCAGAGCTTGAACTTGAAAATTGTTAATAAATAGGCCAGACAGTCATTTTTCCAGCCAGACAGTTGAGATTCACTTAGATACTTAAGGTCATGTTTTAAACCAGTCGTTGACTCATTAAGCCACACAGTTTGTTATCACCAAAATCTTGCCAGTAGGATCATATAAAGTTTCAATATCTTGCCAGTAAGATCTTGAACATTCAACTTCTTGCCAGAAACATCGACAGATTGCAATGTGAGCATCTTGTCAGCAAGACCTTGCAGTTACAACATCTTGCCATTAAAGTTTATCATCCCATTATTAAATGAACCTATGTTAATTGCTGATCACTGGTTGTTTATGAAGTGGGCCTGTACTGTATTGATAATTCACTTTACCATAAGGCAGTAAACTTTTGAGTGGCAAAATATTATTATTATATCATTGAACAAAGAGCTTATTAACTAGTGGACTCTAAAAAATATTCTGCTTTTAGATATTCTCATCTATATATGGATGTGGACCTGCTACAGCTCGAAAGTGGTATGAGAAGGGTCATCGAAACATGTTTGACATCATTCAAGCTGTGAAAAATGGAATGAAACTCACAGAACAGCAGACAATGGGTAAATTAGTTTTGTTACTCTAAATAATAATACTGTGGTTCAGTTTTATTACAGTCATGAGAATGTAAGTTTGATTAACTTTTTTGAGATGTCATTTTCCAATCTGCAGTTGTCTGCCAAAAGTTTTGGTTACCAGTCTTAAAAAAATATTTTTTTGCAAAAGAAACACATCTTATACAGTATACTTGCATCAAGAATTAAACCATTGACCTTAACAAGAGGCTTATCATCATCATGATCATGATAAACCTTGAAGTTCCCAAAACTCTTACTTTTAAAATGAGGCCAAGTGGAAAAACTTGTCAAGTGAAAATGAGGGTTATTTGAATAATATTATTGTTTCATATTAGAGATTATGCATTTGCCCTCATTTTGGAAAAGAGGCTTAAATCATGTATAGCCCAACTTGAAAGTGGCCTTAATAATTAATTATTAATTTGAGTGAATTATTTTGTTTTACCGTAAATCCTCTATTAAGTCCCCTGGAGGGCTTATTTATTTTAAACACATTTGAAGGGGGCAGGGGGAGGGGGGGCTTATTTGATTTAGCAATCATGATGGTGTCAGTTCTTCATAAAGAACTAGAATACAAAGTAGAAAACCTTAGTAACAAGAAGTTGGAGGTCATGCTGCTGAGAATCAAAACAAAATACAAACTTCCAGTTGTGATTTATTATAAAATACAGTCTAATCACTAATAAATTTTATTAGTGAAGAATAATAATGGGGAGAGGAGGGGGACTTAATAGAGGAGAGGGGCTTATTAACTTTCTTCCCTGGAAAAACGGTGGGGGGTTGGGGCTAATACTTTAATTTGCAGGATTGAGTTTGTTGCTGCAGCTTTTTTGTTACTCTAAATTTCCCATCTTGGGGTTTCAACTGTGCCAACATGCTCTTGCTTTCGGTTTTGATGCTTGATTAAAGTACAGATTAATATTATCTTATAGGTTTGAAGTATTATGATGATTTAATTCAACCTGTTCCAAGAGAAGAAGCTATTGGTATTAAAAACATTGTGGCAAGAGAGGTCAGTTAAATATCATCTTCATCATATGATTTCATGACACCATATTTGGCACAGAGAACGGTCCCTCGAAAAACATGGGTCTCAGAATATTAGTCCGATCTTAAAATCTTTGACGCATTTGTCGACGGGTCCCAAAGTCTCATTCTTGGGTGATTTTACTTCTCCGAGTCTCGAATTTTAAAGTCTTGGCCATGAATTTTGAAACCACATACTGCATGGGGTCTCGCAGTCTTGCAAAGTCTCAGATTCACAATTCTATACCCCATATATTTGACTGTCATTATGTTATCACATCACCCATGAGAGAGAGTAATACTTTTTTTATTAGACTAAAAGGCAAATCAATAATTTTTTCAAGTATTTATATATTATTTTAGAATTTTTCATTTCATAGTTAAACAGTATCCAGCCAAACTGCACAGTGGAACTAGTTGGAGGGTACCGCAGGTGACCATACAATGTACACATTTCTTTTACTTAATTCTTTGGTAAAAAGTGTAATAAATTATTTGACTTCTACAGCAAAAAGTCAACAAATACATTACAGTTTTGAACTTTTTGATGTCATTTCTATGGCCTGTAAGAGTTTAGACAATGGAAAATTGTCTTTCTTCATTTTGCAATATTATAACATTAAAAGCTTTGGACATCCATATTTCTGCCAAAGTGTATTCTTCAAAAATCAAATTGCAAGAGACAAGAAAAAAATTGTGCCATTTTTTAAAAATTTATTTCCATGGACAATTAGATGATAACTCTCAACCAGTGAGTATGTGGGATGTTGCCCAGTTGTTTTAAAATAAATAATGTTTAAGCTCAATAGTTTGTTTCTGTCCCAATCTTTTCTAGAGGTAAACCATCAGGACATGATGTGGACATTTTGATTACCCATAAAGATGTCTACCGAGTTGAAGGATTGCTAGTAAAGCTTGTTGAAAGGCTTGATAAGCTGGTAAGGAGATAAAGAAACAATAAATCAAAGCCAAATTAGAGGGATTCAAAGGTTTTTTACAACTAAAACACTTTTTGAGTATTTGTTTGTTAACAAAATAAAAATTATTAATGTTTTTTTTTTCCTTGTTAGGGTCACATGGTTCACAAGGACTTAATGGCTGGTCGGAATTCAACTCTTGGTGGAAGCCAAAAGTATGTTGCAACAAATAAAGACTTCAATTTGAAAGCCTTGACAAGATATCCTCCCACCTAATGGGATAGTGACATCAACATGACATAACTACATTATCAAACAAATTTGAAATGGATTTCAATATTGTTTGGTAATGTAACCATTGTGTTTCAACAGTTACTAACTGTATTACTAACAACTTTTTGGTGCTCTACTGGTCAGCATATTTGTTTTTCCGTACTTTGTTTTGAGGATTGTAAAAGAGAGATATTAAAAAGAGACCAATGTTAAAAAAAACCAGAGACCCATGTACATCGAGACAAAACACTATAAACTCTGTAAGGGGAAGTAGTGGGGGTGGGGGGGGGGGGGGGGGGGGG